CCGCCCTCCAGAGGGAGAGATTTTAAACAATCTTTTTATTTGTATGTTTCAGTGGTGTCAGTTTTCATGAACTTCATTATAAAAATTAAAAAATAATTTCTCTATAAAATTCAAGAATATAAATGCCACCTTGCTTGGTAGTATTTCTGAGAATTGCAACTGTAATAATTAGATGTAACTTTTCTGCTATGTTAAGGGAAGACAGATGTCCTTTCCTTAAGAATTCTACTTAAGGGGCACCTGGGTGGCTCAGTCATTAAGCGTCTGCCTTCAGCTCAGGTCATGATCCCAGGGTCCTGGGATCAAGTCCCACATCGGGCTCCCTGCTCGGCAGGAAGCCTGCTTCTCGCTCTCCCACTCCCCCTGCTTGTGTTCCTGGTCTCACTATCTCTCTCTCTGTCAAATAAATAAATAAAATCTTTAAAAAAAAAAGAATTCTACTTAACTTTCTGTCGGCTGGGTGGCTCAGTTGGTTAAGCGTCTGCCTTCGGCTCAGGTCATGATCTCAGGGTCCTGGGACTGAGCCCCATATTGGGATCCTGCTCATTGGGGTGTCTGCTTCTCCCTCTCCCTCTGCCTGCCGCTCCTCATGCTTGTGCTCACTCTCTCTCTGTCAAATAAATAAATAAAATCTTAAAAAAAAAAAAAGAATTCTCCTTACCTCTCAGTGTTTAGATAAATATCAAATTCTGGTTTGCCTCTTCTACTGGTCCTGAATTTATTGTGGCTTAAAAACTTCAGATTGCCCTCAAATTTACCAAGCATGCCACTCACTTCTTGGTGCAATCTCCAGACTCACAAAGCCTGATTCTCCATATCCCCCATCACATATAGAAGTGGAGCTGCCGAGGCTATGGGAAAGAATGAAGAATGACCATCGATTCTATTTTCTGGCAAAACAAACAGCAGACAAACAGCCATTTCTGAGCCACCTCAGCTCCCCTAGAGAGTTCTTGTTCAACCAGGCTGAGGGCCTAATGGCTTTCTAACTGCCTAGTCCTATCATGGACATCTTGGTCTGTTCCCATATTTCAGTATACTTTCTTCTTCTGACTTCTTTCCTGCACATCTGTTCCAATTGTTTGCAAAAGTTTTTTATTCCTAATCTTTTTTTTCTTCCTTTTAGGTTCATGAGGGGTAATCTCACTAAAATCCCTGTTTTTAAATACCACAGCTGTCTCTCGAGGGCCCCAAGCGCACACCATCAGGAAGCTTCTTATTCACGCAAGAACCCAAACATAGTCTTGCAACTTTTCTACAATCCTGTTCTTTCACATGGCATATTGTTTCTCCCAGGAGCAAGCTTATGCGTCGTTGGCCTCTCCTTCCAATGCACACATTCTGGTTTTCCCTTATAGCACTAGTACAAAATATTAACAGCACTTTTTCTCTGTGGGCTCCCTCTGATTTCTGAATCACTTGAGAACAAAAATCCTGTCTTTTCATGAAAGTGTGTTAGGTATCTATCATGGTATATAGTAAGCAGTCAAAAAAAAAAATGCCATGTAAAGAAAATAATGCATCTACTTTCAAAAAAAGCATTGTTACCATCTTTTTTCTATAAAAGACATGTTTCAATTAATTACTTTATAAATGAACTACTTATGGGCAAATTCATAAAGACAGAAAATAGGTTAGAGGTTACCAGGGGCTGGGAGGAGAAGGAAATGAGAAATTATTGCTTTGTGGGTACAGTTTCTCTTTGGAGTGATGGAAAAGTTTTGGAATTCCTGTGGTGATGGTTGCACAGCATTGTGAATGTAATTAATGCCACTAAATTGTATATTCAAAATGGTTAAAATGACAGGTTTTATGTTATATATATTTTACCACAATAAAATTAAAACATGAATTATTCACAAAAAAGAAAGGCACTAAAATAGTCAAGATAACTAAATGTGTATTTTCTAAAAAGAAAAGCTTCTTTTCTAAATAGAAAATTCAGAAAAGGAAGCCCAGTAATTAGTCTTAGAAACAAATACAATTGTAGCAATACTTTTTTTTCATGTATTCTCATTTAAGAAATATATTACTACAACAAAAACCATCATTAAATAACACAATGAATTTTAAAAGTGAATGAGTGAATAACTGAATAATCAAAAGAAAGCACCAATTTTTTAAATATTTTATTTATTTACTTGAGAGAGAGCAAGAGTGAGAACTAGAGAGAGAAAGAGAGAGAAAGCAGGAGACAGAGAGAAAGAGGGAGAGGGAGAAGCAGACTCCCTTCTGAGCAAGGAGCCCAACGCAGGGCTCAATCCCAGGACCCTGGGATCAAGACCTGAGCTGAAGGAGATAGATCAAGACCTATCAGCTGCTTAACTGACTGAGCCCCCCAGGCGCCCCAAGAAATCACCATTTAAATAAACAAACCTCTATGGTTGAGTGCCTGGGTATATCCAGGCTGGGTTTATCACTGTGACCACAGACAGACATTATTAGTGGGTCAAAATGGTCAGATGTCCACATGCATGGGAAACAGACAGACACATCTGTCATGCATTTTTGATAGGAAGCACTGGCAAGTTTAATAGTCCTAAGACTGATGGGTCGGACAGACTGGATTTGTGCCCTGGATCTGCTTCATATGGGACAGTGTAAGACTTTAGTCTCACTGAAACACAGGTTTCTCATCTAACAAATAAAGGGGAAAAAATCCAGTATCATGTCATTTTTGTGAAGGTGAAGAGGGCCTGGTTAAGGTTTCATGCAGTTCTTTATGGCATATTATTAACATAGAGGTCCAGATAAATTTATATTGAACAAGTAGTTATTCTACATAAAATATCATGAGTTCTGAAAATACATTCTTTGTGTGAACTCTTTTTGTTTCTTTTACTTTTCTTTTCCCGTTTCTTTTTCTTTTCCATTTTGCCAAATTTATACTTAGCATACTCGGTAATTGATGCAATATTATTTCATTTAAAGCTCCAGGCCTTTGCAAAATATGAGTCAGTGTTTAGAGCAACCCTAACTGTGGGCAATCTGTAAATTATCTGTCTCAAAAAATGGTTGTTAAAATAAAGACATATTCTTTGCCTTGAAAGGTCAGTCTTAAAGCATTGAATTCTGTGTGGGATTTTTTTCTAATCTTTTCTCTTTTTCTGTTTCTCTTCCTCACATGCTGACTTCGGTGTAGCAGACCACTTGGGGATTGAATTCATGGGTAAGACTAAACAATTTGCTCCTTAAATATCCAGAAAAACCTAAGTTTCATAATGTATATAGTATTCTCCTTCCCCATCTGATTATAATTGAAACGTCTCATTATCAGATGCTGTTAGTAGTAAAAAGTGTTTTTGTCGATTTTTCACTAAGTAATGGCTCAAAATGAAAGACTTAACTACTTACCGGGAAGGCAATTGAATGTTAAGTGCAGTTCTGGAATCATAGAGTTTGGATTTGGCTCCTGGCTTTGTTTGCTCTATTTCTCAATTTTCTTATCTGTAAAATAGGGATGATAATAGTTCCTATTTTACTGCACATGTAAATTGCTTAGCACAATGTCTACAAGATGGCAAACACTCAATAAATGATTGAAAATAATAGTGATGGCTTAAAAATGTTAGTTTTGTTATTTTCCGCTCTAATTCATTTTCCTTTTGCATGATGATTATTTTGTATACATTTTAGTATCAATCAATTTGGAGTATGGGCTATATAAACATTTCCATTTACAAAATTAAAATATTTCTTGTGAAAGTAGTTGCAGTGAATGGTATATTTTTAAAAGCATTAGGATGTCTTCCACAGGATTATTATTATGTTCAGGAACTATTATTATTATTATTGTTGTTATGTTCATAGATAATTACATTAAGAATTGAACATACTTTTCTGAGTCTATTTCATAAGTAAAATAAAAAATTAAAAAATAAAAGCATTCTATGGGTTTGATATACATCATGGTGCTAAAACGGAGTGATACTCAGGAGTTAAAGTTAGTGAAATTGAGAAGACCTAAACTTGAAATCCAAATTAATAATTCTTTGCTTCTTTGGCTTTTGTTGAACTTCAGATTTTTCTCTTATATAATATAGATATTGATACTTCATATGTGAATATGGTTATTGTGATAATATTTATAAGTTTAATTTTTTCTCTTATATAATATAGATATTGATACTTCATATGTGAATATGGTTATTGTGATAATATTTATAAGTTTAATTGTATTCCTTTATCTATTCACCCATTCATTCAGCAAATAATTATCAAGTGCTCACTATAAACAAAGAAAAAATGCAAAATATTAGAGATAAAAACATTGTAAAAATGGACAAAAAAACCGGTCCAATGACACAGTCTAGTAAGCTTACAGATAATAGGTAATAAACCATAGATATACAGTTGAGATTTTCCTAAGACCTATTTCAGGCAAGATGATACTACCTTCGACTAGTGTGATTGTGGAGGATATGGTGAAAATGATCGATAGTTAGGACATGGTATCAACAAGTATTTGAGAAGAATTAATGTTGAAGGTTAGAAAAGGGAGCAAAGATGAGACAGGGTTTATAGTTTGCCTATTTAGATAAAAGTTAGGCCCATTTACTGAAAAAGAACACTGGAAGAAGAACAGATTTATGGGAAATATTTTACTAGATTAGGTTTGGAAATGTTGAGTTCCGGGTACCTCTGATATATTGAGAGAAGATGTCAAGTTTGTAGTGTACTGCTGGAAGTTTTTAGGGTTGATTAGAGCTTAGTGATTTAATATTTATACTGGAATTGATCTTCCCTGTTATGTGGTATTTTTCATTAGTGTTCTGTTATCTGGGTATTATATCATAGAAAAAGCAGACAGCTCAATTCCTGCAGGCTTGGGGTTTTGCTAGAATAGATGAGATGAAAAATCATAAGGGCAATGAAATTCAGGATAATATTCAAATGAAGCATCATGGAATGTAAGGTAGATGTGGAAGGAAGTGACAAAAGGCTAGCTACCTGAATGTAATCGATAAATAGTTATCGTGGGAGTACTCAAGCATATTGTTGGCATGGGGAGCAGATTATAGTCATATGGGTCAGAAATTACAGAAAATTATGGGCAGGGTCATGTAGAAGAGTATAAATTGTGAGAAGGATACGTGGCTTGTACTTTCCTCATTTACCAGTGATGGTGGGGATTAACAACATGGAAGTCTGAACATCAACAGTCACTTTGTGGATAGTGGGTACTGGATCTAGTGGATACAGAAATTTGCCCCCACTGGATCATGGTGATTGCAGGCTTTGAGAATAGAGGTTCCAGAAGTTATGTAACAGAATGACTGCATATATAGGAAACACCATATAGCTGGTAGGTGGGGCTGGGCTAGCTTCAGACTCCACAAGTGGTATGGCTATGGTTAGATAAACATAAATTGCTGCACTGATGTTAATTATAACTGTTAAAAAAAAAAACTGGACCCATCACCATCTTATTGGGCTTTTCCTGAGGCCCTCCAGTGACAGATAAGTTATGGTAACAGTTTGCTAGGGTACCAACATATGTATTAAAAAGTCTGTGTTAAAACATTTACAAGACTTCAGTTACTGGTAGGTGAAAAATAATAGGTAATTGTGTAGTTCATCTATAAGAATCTCAAGACTACGGTTATAGTGAGTCTTGCAAAACTTGGTATCAAATCGTAGCTATAAAGCCTTATAGGAAATGAGTTCTCAATGTGTGAATATTTGACTCCAGTGGTAGAGATTGCCTTGTACAGAAGGGGTTGAGCAAGAAGTCAGAAGGGAATATGTAGCATGTATACAGATAATGACAACTAATGAAGGCTTGTTTGAAATGGTGAATAGGTTAGTGAATGAACTCTTTCCACTGAACTTACTAGTTCCAGAGAGTGTTCACCCCCACCCATATTCTAACTGAATATATAAAATTCTTTTTGTTGCTTTGGGAACATATATTTTCAGATTTAACTTGTGATTTTAGAGTCCATATGGGTAAAATTCCTTCCACTGAGGGTTACTACCTTACATGCCAGTAATATGACTTCTCTAGCATAAATACAGCTGGGAAGCAAAAATGTGGGCATAGTCTCTATAAACTAACCATGTCAGTATATTGGAGTACCTAAAATGATCAGCGCCAGTTCTGTTTTAATGAGTTCTAGAATAGCTTTCTTCTCAACTTTCAACATTCTTACTTTGGGCAATGTTACTTTCATCTTTCCTTGAGTTGGGACTCAGATCCCAAAATGATGATATGAAGCACACAGCTCTTTTCCCCAAGTCTTTGTATTCCCAGTGGCAAGTCTATGTCATTGATCAGACTCAAAAGCTGAATACTTTGTGCAGTTTAATAAATTCCTATTTAAAGCAGGAACTCCAAATCATATGACTCAACAAGAATCCTATTATTATTTAATCAATATATACTTCTCACACTTACCGTATGCCAGATGGATAAGATGCTGAAGATGCAGATATATAAGCCACATCCTTTAATGCCCAAAAGACTGAAAAGAAAGAAAGCTACACATAATTGAGGTAATATTAACAGGTGCTATCAAAATGACATAGGCAAGGTACAATGAAGGAAAAAGTGAATTTTAAAAAAGCATCTAAAGATGTTTGGGAAATTCAGAGACAGCTTCCTGGGGGAGGAGACATGTAAGCTGAGTACTAGCCAAAGTGGATAAACTGTATTGAGTGATACCATAGTCCAAATCTGTCCCAGCTCTGTATTTCTTCCACATTAGGGTGAGCCTTGCTATTTCAGTCTATCTGGGTCCATAAGCTACCTAGAGTCACTGCTTTAGGACCAACGAAAGCCTATCAACTTCAGTAAAAACACTTAACCAAAAAGCTTTTCTGAGTCGATTTATTAATTTCAAGGAATAATTATCTTATCATATAAGCCATGCTAAACCTAATGACCATAAAACTGTCAACATTCAGAAGGATTTGTCCTTAATTATATTCATGAATTTTTCTTAATGATGCTTCTGGGACCAGTACAATGAACATATCAACAACACATACTGTCCTGGAATACGGTATCAGTTTAAAAAAATAAAGTTAACTGATTTAAATAGAGCAGGAATTAGAAGGTACATGGAAACACAAAATTGTGTTTGTGAAAAAAATGTAAAATCAGAGTTTATATTAAGTCAGTAATCAAAAATATTTTTTGAATTAGTGACAACCTACTCAGTATGCATGCATGAGGGAAAATTGAGATTTTTAAGGTCAGATGTTCCAGTTTTCCACACAGGGTGAAAAGATCAGGAGATGGAGTAGACACACTTCACCCTAAGCACAAACACTCATTGAGAAATCCACCCAAATGTCCAGAGGAGACAGATGGCCAAAGGGCATGTCAGACTGGCCAAAATTTGGAAGGCACATTTATCATGAAGAGGGATTTCTCATCTGAGAAGTATCTCGCTGTAGTGTCAGGTGCTCAGTCATGGAGCATATCTCATTATATCCATTTGAGCTCTTTGTTATGCAGCTATTTCTTTGACAATACCCTGATGCATTGGATGCTATAGGCATCAAAGATGTTTGTATAAAAGCAGGTGCAACGCCACTTGCAAACATATTAGCAAACCATAGGGAGAGCTGAAGATTGTGTGGGAGATCTTTCATGCAAATTTCATTTTCATATGGAAAAATAAAAGGAACTCTGTCAGTTAAATGTCTTGTTTGTGATTTGACATTGTTTTAAAGATAACATATTTATGCAGATTTTGATTGAGTAAACCCTAGTATAATTTTTTAAATCAAAAGGTTTATAGAACTTGGGAAAAGGAGATTACTAACTCCTTTAGTAGTATTTAGAGATAACTAAAATCTGAAAAAGTCATTCTAGAATAATCTCTGTATTTTGAAGTTAAAAAAGCAAAAAGAATGAAATTCTGGGTTTGCTATAAGGAGAGGCTTAGAAATGTGTTATATTCAAACTCTGTGGTCTAAAATATGTGTATAGTTTTAGAATTGATAAGGTCATTATTTCAAACTTCACCATATATTGAGCATCTCCTCATTCTGTCATGTAAAATAGTTGTTTTAGTATATTTTAGTAAAAACTGAAGATAATCTCCTGAGAAGTGTCTAGTTTCTAATTCTGTCTGGATGATATAAAGTGGGGATCTTTTCCCTAAAGCTATAATGCTTATTATGAGTGATTTGGCGTGTGTTCCTTTAAATCTAACAGGC